TTCGGAATTAACGTAATGAGATTGGTTTGCATTGAGGGTGGTAATTCTCCTGTTTCCATTATCATGTTGCCCACTTTTGTTAAGGATCGCCCTAACCGGGGCCATAATCTTATTAATGAGTAGTAAGAAATGCCGTCAGTTCCTGTGGATGTGGATTTGGAGATAATAACTAAATGGTCATATAATTCATCTTCAGTGAAAGGTTTTTCCAATGATGTTTTCTCTGAACTGGTAAGTTTATGTGGAAAAGTATTGATAAATTCGGATAAAGGATCCAATGGCACATGGTATTGTTGATATAATTCTTTGTAGAAGGAAGTGGCAACATTAAGCATTTCTGGAGTATTAATAACTGGCGTACCATCAGTACGCTCCATATTTTCAATGATATTAACTTCCCGAGGTCCACGAAAGCGGTATTTCAAAAGCCTTTCTTGATCTTCATCGGTTTTCGGAATTACATGTTGAGTTTCAGCCTGCCTTATTCTCTGAAGTCTATGTATTAGTTGTTTCAATTGTTGAATTTCTGCTGTGAGATAATCAAGATTGTCTTCCCAGGAAAGGAATATATTATCAAGGAATCTTGGTCTGTATTGATTCAAGCACTGCAATACATTATCATCTGCTAATAATTTATTGGGAATACAAAATCTCGGATCACCAATTTTAAGTTTAGGAGAAATGCATATTTTCATTTTCATTACGATAGCAAAATGTGTTGAACCAATGGTATGATCTTCAGGAATCCGATAATCTAATAAACTCCAAATGAGGTCATTAGAAAGATAAAATCTATCTAATCTTCTTTTTGTATTCATATTATTTGTGGGTTCAGTTGTGTTGGGATATAAATGAGTTTTAACATCAGCAAGATTATGTTCAGCGATAAATGCTTCAAAATAGTCCATAATATCTTTTTCTTGCGCTGTTAAACGGGGCCTGATAAGAATATCAGGCCGAATAACATCTAAATCTTGATCCAAAACGTTATTAAAATCACCACCAATGAGAAAGTGTATATCAGGATTCTCATTATTGAATTGCAGAAGTTGATCAGAAAGTTTTCTTAATAATGCTAATTGATTTTTATAGTTACCAGAATGAAGATAGACACTTAATAATAATATTTCCCGAGATGAGTCTCTTAAATGAATTACCAGCGAAGTAATTCGATTTTCCAAAGTCGTGAAATTAATGATATGTTCTGGTGCAAGTAAGGAAATTTTCTTATTTTGTCCAATATTTTTAAATACAATGCATGTTAAATCATTCCAATTATGCATGTGGAGTTCAAGTTTATGGTTGGATAACCGTTTCTTTAATAATTTAAAATCTTTATCATTGAGGATACGGATTTCTTGGATCAACCATAGATCTATTGTCGGATTCGCGTTAAATAAATTGAATATTGTCGTATAAATGTTGTGTATGTTTCCTCGGCTCCCAATGTTCTTGGAGCCGACTGATAATGAATTTAATATATCATTTGCGGTGTTGGTATGTTAATAATAAAAATAAAATAAACTCTCTTTTTTTTTTTTTTTTTTTTTTTTTTTTTTTTTTTTTTTTTTTTTTTTTTTTTTTGAGTCTTTATAAATAAAATAAAAATAAAATAAAACAAATACCGAAAAATTAATAAATTGCAAAATGTAGAACACCGCAAATGAAAATGAAACCAAATAATGAATAAATTGATAATGAAGAACTGAAGTGTGGGTCTGAAAATGATGAAAACGTTGATTATAAAGACTGCTATTTTTTGTGACCCTATTGTTTGACCTTGTGTTGAACCTTTTAGTGAAGTTCTTCATCAATCTGAGTGTCTTCCTCAGATTGACTATGCGAAACCTGCGAACAGGTTTCACAAACTTCACCTCTCATCTGATCTGCTCGGAAGGAGCCCATACACTGTTCACATGTACAAACGAAAAATGGTGAATCCTCTTGTGTAGGATTTCCAGATTCGTTTTCGTCAAACAGTGCTTTGAACCTTTCAGTATCTGCTGAATGGTTAAATTTGTTGGAACCCGAAGAAGCATTAGATTCTTCAGGTGTTGAATCATCTTCCATCTCATTATGAGTTCTTTTGGATGATGGTTCAGGGTCTGAACTCTTGCTATATTCGACAAGAGCTCTTTTTGCTTTAATCACATTTTTAGGAAGAATAGGCATGTTGTTGCCTTGACTTGGGGCTTGTGATTCGGAAGTTTGTTGTTGCTTGTAAAACTTTCTGGCATTGTTATGGGCTGAGGCTGGGAGGAAATCATCTTCCTCTTCAGTATCTGACTTGTTTTTGGACTGTTCGTTTTCTTTGATTGCTTGAGCACGTAATTTAGCTTCTTTGTAACTTGCACACTGAGAGCGCATATGACCATGTTTTCCACAGTGCCAGCATTTACCGGCTAAAAGACAGTTCTTTCTCACGTGAGTCAATGAATGACAGAAAGAGCAATGAGGCAAATTGGACAAAGCACGGATGGAGGTCCCACTAAACGTCAATCCGGCCTTGGTGGGTGGTGGGGCCACGTCGGA